GATATCTTCTTAATGAAACTCATCATGGGGTGGTGTGTCTGTTTTTGTGTTGGCAGTTGTTGGAAAGCTTCCAGAAATCCTTCCCAAACCTTACTTTCCCACCACTTCCGGATCGTGGTGACTTTGATCTGAGCGAAGTCCTCAAGTCTCCTTATTTCTTCAACTAGTCTGCGTCAGATAGATTGCTCGTCATTGCCTGTCCATTTGAAGACCATCCTACAGCACTTATTCTACCTTCGAGGTGACGATCCCGATTCATTCTATATCCCCATCTATTGGGAGCTAACAAAGAGGTTATTTGCAATCACATTTAAGGGATAAGCAGCGGGGAATCATCATGGTCCTCAACTCTCCCGGCCTTCGGTTTGTTGTAAATATACAAAGAGAAGAATGCTGCTAACTTGGCAGGAGGGTTTGGCTCATATCATATTATCCTCCAGAGTCGCAAAGAAAAGGACTCATCTTCAGGATAGTGATTCTCGGGCGGGGAAGCCTTTTGATCAGTGAGGCCATGCAAGGAAGGGAAGAGGAGGAAAAGATCGGATTGTGTTTCTATTCTTCAGGGTCTGCACTGTTGGTATGCAGGCTGGTAAGTTTTGTAAGGAATGTATGGATCTTGTTGGATCTTGTTGGGTATAATTATATCCACAAGCTGTTCGGTCCTTACCTATTGGTATAATGTAATTGTAGCTCAAATTCCACAGCCAAGAGATCTTGTGCTAAAGTAGAGTTAACAGGTTCACATGGATTTTTCTGCCTCTGTGCCTTTCTATTTGTCACAAAATTGTAACATATAGCATATATATATATATATATATATCATTCTTTTGGCAAAAATTCTGTACATTATAACCAAAACTTCTTAGCTTCATGTTTGATTATGGCTTTTCAGATTTTATCTGACATTCAATCAACTCATTGTTAGACATTTTTTAAGCTAATATGATGCCCATGAGCTTAATATTGAGCTTGATGTCTACGACTTGCTTACTTTAAGATCCAAAACACACACACACACACACACACACATATGTATGCAATTAGTAAGGTGCTCCAAACAATTGGATCTGTGAATAAAGGGCATCTCCTCTTCTATAAAAACCTAAGGTAAATCATGTTCATGTTGATCATAGAGAAATTACATCAAATATTTTCACTTCTATATCCACCTATCTATACACAAAACAAGAACATAGTGAAAGCACAGATCTTTCCAACACCCCAAATCTCCCTCTCCATTATAAAAAGGACTTTCACTTCTATCTCTTTCTCCCACTTGGAATCAACCAGAGTGAAGGGTAATCAGATGAGTCTTCCCCAGCTGTACAGATTACAGAAACAAGATCCAATCTTCTTTCCTTTTCCATTTTCCACATTCTGGTTGGAATCTGGATGTTTTAGACAAGCCGACGCAGTATTTCAATTGCTCTGCTTGTGTTGGTATAACCAACGACATATAATTACCACTTGGGGCAAACGATAACGAGGGACGAAACGTCACTGCTCAACCTTCATGTCAGCAGGTGGAAGAGACCCTGTACAGAATATCATTTTTTAATGTTATAGTGAGTTGAAAGATACTTCCTTTAATCTTTCTAAACAGATTTTCAGCAAGTAATCGACTAGCTCTACAGAAGGAGAAAAACACGATTAGATTTTACCAGTTGCTTCTTGATTTTCAGGTGTAGCATCGGTTCCATAGCACACGTGAACAACATTCTGCAGATCACACTCCCATCCCTGTGTTTCCTGTGACACCAAGATAGAAGATCAGATGTTGTAACATAACAGGACCTGTAATGAACCAGAAAAGACATCCGGAAATTACATAAATCCATGTTTGCACAAGTCCTTTGCAAAAACGTAATCCTACAGTGAAACCCTTTGTTCTAAAAACGAGGTGGAACCAGGGAGTATACCGGTCGCTTGAATCCTCCTTCATTCATGGGAGACAATGGGGAAGTGAC